ATATTATATTATATTATATTATATTTTTAAGTTGTGTTCAGCATAATATAACAATTTTATAGCACTATACTAAGTTTAACAAGCATTGCTAAAGACATTTAGCGTTTCTCTTACCTGTTTTAATCCATGCTGGGTCATTTCCGGTTGCTTGAAAACAGTCAGTGAAAGCAAACCAAAGCATTGGCCTTGTTACCAACAGTTAGCTTAGCTTTGATTAAAACAAACTAAAAAAAACATTTAAATCATCTGGGTCTGTTTGAGTTCTTCACTGTCTGAATCGTGGATATAAGTGACTATTATGTGAATGTTTTTTTTTGCCATAAGATGATTTTTGTTGTGAAGTCTGAAGGCTGAAAAGTAATTACTCAAGTATACAGATAACCAAAATTTCTACTTACGTACAGTAACAAAGTATTTGTACTTAGTGACTTTACAACTCTGAGCAACAGCACAACATCCTTTTCCTCTCCTTCGCGTTTCAAGGTTCAGGAGAGCTGGTGCTTGTGTACACCATTTACTGTGCAAGAGGCAGTCTTGTGTGAAGTACCGCAAAGTGATACTTGAGTAAAAAGTATAAGTATCTAAACTTAAAATTACTCTCTTACTATTTAATGGTGCTGACTGGTGGGTGCATTTATGATTATTTTGCCCATAGGTGGATCATTTTTAACCATTTATTTCTGTCTTCTAAAGATAACGATTGGGGTTACAAAGCCGATGTTTAATCAGTTTTAGATTTTTACAGAATCATTTAAAATTATRTATCTTCATCCATTTGGAGTACTTTGTGTTAATTTATTACTTTGTTAGAATCCATTTAAATTCCAAGTTATGAGACAACAAAATCGAACTTTTTACATTAGTTACTGCATTTGTCATCTACTCCTTTTGATTTCTCCTCACCYTGGTTTTCTTCTCTCTTAGTCATGGTGATGGCATTTTCTGCCCCTCCTCCCAGACTAAGTCCTTCCTCACATGTTTGGCACACTGAATAAGTCAAGGACTAAAGAGGACATTCTGATAATCCAGTCTTTCACTGGCCACATTGAATTTGAACACACACAAATAAACACAGTCACACTGATWTCAGTAAACTGTATAATTCAGTTGTAGTTCTGGCTTTGAAATGTCACATTCTTTAGAAAAAAAACATATAATTCATTATTGGATTAGTGGCGCTAATGGAAACAGACTGATTAGTTCAATTTAGAAAATTATGGTTAAAGCTTCAGATGACCTGGGTAAAACTACGCATAATCATAATCCTTTTGTGAAACATCATTTATCATGATATAATATTGTCAAACCACAGTGACATTTTCAAATTTTAACAACTGATCACTTGCTGCTAGGAAAAGACAAAGAGGAAGTTCAAATAGGCGATATATGGGTAGTAAAAGTGAACACCGAATTCAGACGATGGAGGAGGATGACTCAATGTCACAACCCCTGAAAGGAAACGGCGGAAAGACAAAGATGAAGGAACAACTGATCGCTTGACCTAGTGTATGACTTTCAGTCTGCGTGCAAATGAAAGGACATGAAGGTATTAAAGCACACAGATGCTAATCCACCAGACCATCTGTCACTTCTTGATTTATTCAGCTGTTAGCTTRACAATCACATATGAATCAGAAGTAAAACCATCAACAAATTTTCATTTTTTTATGATATTAACAACAAAACATACACACATAACATTTTGGAATAAATGAGCAAACAAAAACAATAATGTGTCTTTCTTTTTCTTTTCGATTGCTGGAAAAAAAAATACAGTGTCATTCTTTTTTTAATGTCTCTTTCTGCTGTGAGATGATCACTAACCAAAGTGTGTCTTTGATTTCCACTTTTCTTTTACATGTGTATTCCTGCCAAATATTTATTATAAAGCCTACAGGGATTTCCCACAAATTCAGCCTTTTTGATAATCAGACAGCAAATATAATTTCCTGGCAACAGATGAAAGTAGCTAAAAATGGGCCAATTTGAAGGTGCTTTTCATCCACATTTTCATTGCAGTCACTTGGATTTTATTGTTCTATTTTGCACRTGATGATGTAGCATCAAACATGATTTGATTGCTGTTTTCTTGCTCCATTGCTAACAGATGTATGAGTCTGGATGACAGAGTAAAAACCCATATTAACATATGTCAAATAACAGTTTTATACAAACTCGTTTAAAGACAATTAAATAAATGTAAAAAAAACCCATAGGCTCTTTTGTTCTAGACACATTACAATAAAAAATCTAATAAATTGTACTACTTTCTTCTGATGCTTTAAAAAACAACAACAACAACAACCATATCAAAATTTACAAAGGTGGAAGAGCAGGTCAACAATGTAATGTCTGAAATGATGATAATATTGGAATCTACAGTACTGAACAAACACATTGCTCTGTAGATAATACTTCAACAGCCAATTAAGCTGTAAATTAGCAGTGGTATGTAGTTTATATATGTGCATTTATTTTTATGTTCTCTTTTGTTAGTGCAAGTGTATGTTATGCAACTCAGTTCACACATCTATTTATACTAAAACAATGACATAACAAATTTGAAGCACAGTGAAAATTATTACTCAAGTTGGTCATTTAAAAGACTGCCCATTGTTTATCTTTCTTAATGAAAAAAGAACCTATGCAGATAACTACGTGTTGTAGGAGCATGTTAGCGGATGGGAGCCTTGAGGGCAGCATCCACCTCCTCCTCCGGCTGCAGTGTGTGCCACTGGGCCACAGGACGTCTGGGATTGGCCAACATGTCTGACCAGTGGCGCAGCCCAACTCCTGAAGCTCCATAACCGATCCAGCACTTTCCGATGGGGTCGTTGCTGCCCAGTTTGTCGTAGTCGTACACGGTGATCAGCAACTGGACTTTCTGTATGTGGAGACAGAGGAGTGTCAAAAGTTGTTCTTCTTCAGTTTCGGCTAAATTTAAATGTAATATTGGTTTCCATAATAATGTTTCATTTTTCATTGGTATTGAAACAACTAAAACATAAAAGCTTGTTTGTAAAAAATGAAATGAATTAAATAAATAAAACTTTTAAAAACTGGCAGACATAAAAACTGGCATCCTAAAAGTCATGCAAGATCTATTTTTTGACATCTTTATATACAGCTTTTATACATAGTACAGTGAAGAGCAAAAAGTCCATTTACTCAGTCAAGAATGGTCATGAGGTATTTAAGGCAGGGTAAGATGCAACTACAAAAACATCTAGTTATTCAAAAAATATTAATGCTTTGAGTTCATCTTTGATGYAAAAACATTTTGTCTCTCCTCTAAGAGGAGTTCAGTCTGAGGAGTTACAGGTAAATTCAGCCTTGTAAGCCGTACTTCCACATGGTGGACAAACAGGTTTAACAATGGCTATCAAAACTGTTCAAATACAAAAGAGGACCATCAGCCTATCATTAGTGCTGAGTGTTGCCTATTGTTGTTGAGTCATGCTCGCAATAACAGCATTGTAAGATGGCGACAACTGGACATGCAGACCTCCACTTTTGTTGAATGATAGACCATTTTTCTTCAAAAAATGGTTCCCTTTTCTCCTCTCTCAAACCAATGTTCCTCTCTATCAAAGATGAGAACTTGTTCATCCAAGAGTGACCGCTGGTCTGTAGATGAGTGTAAACTGCATAGTCCTGGCCTGATAATGTTGTTAATCTGTGTTGGGCCATCCTTTGAACAGTGCTTTGTTTCCCCGATGGTCCGACTGATCACAGTCCTCCTGGCACTTAACAGCATATACAATATTACTCTGTTTGTGCTGGGGGATTGGATCTTTGGGGGTGAACCAATCTTTGCTGCAATGTGRACAGGGCATCATCTCAGAATTTCTTCTCTTGATTTGAACCACCYATAATGCATGATGTCCAATGGGAGGTCATGTTTAGAAAATAAGTGTGTCAGTTTTTTTGAAGCTAATTTTCACCTGGTGGTTGATRGGAGTCCTGTTTGGGTTTCTTGTCTGCTTTCAGGAATGCCCAGTTAGGATAACTGCACMGCTCCAGGGCCTGTCTTGTYTGTGATTTCTCCTTCTCCTTGMRTRGTGGYTTTGTGGGGACCCTGTCTGCTCTGTGGTACAGAGTCCTGATTGATGCTAACACCCTGTTGTTTTTCAGGTATCATTATTTGTGTTTTAGCTTAGAATACTAGCATGGCAATACTTGTAAGTACCTAAAGCAAAGCACAGCTGTGYTTGATGGGAATGCTTTTTTATAGGGGACATTTTAAGGACAATAATATGATCACTTATCACACAAAACAATATTGTGTTTAATTATCAACTGTAGGCATCTGTCAGAGCAAGGGTAGCTTCTCAAAATCCCAGTTTTTGACCATCCTGCATTGGTATGGAAATTTCATTGTTTTTATTGGAATAATGTGGACAGACTTTTTAATATATACTGAGAAAAAAGTATTGATGACTGAAAATCCTGGATTGAAAACCCACTATCCATTATTCAGAATTTGCATCCTGAACTGAAAGTCAGGAACTTTTCMACCATTAACTTCTAATGAAGATTGATTGAATTTTAATGACATGGTAAGTTGACAACACTGYTATTGTTGGTTTAATGCAAACCTGGATCTGTGAGAAGGGTATCTCAAAGCTGAAGCTTTCGTTGAAGTAAGGATTTAAAGTGTTTTGTTTGACAGACGTCTTCTTTTTCTTGATTCGCTTGCCGTTGTGCTGCAGCACCACCTTGACAAAGGGATCTAAGAGAGAAATATGAGTCAACAGAGTTACCTGGGCCAGTACACAGCTCWATTACTGCTACAGTTTATGCAGGGAAGTATACCTGACAGTCCTCCAACATCCATCTTCTTCAGGTTCTTGGCTTCCATGATATTGACTGTTAGTTTACCAGCCGTGGGGACATAACGAAGAGAAATGCAGATGTCACCAAGCTTCTCTTGCTATCATGAACAAAACATGAAGACATCATTATATTCTACACAAAGGTAATGGCTGGTTATTTGTTTAACAAGATGAAAATAATCATACCTCCTCTTTTTCTCCCCCGACTAGATCTCTCCATTCATGCATTGGTTGTCCAAGATCTATAGAGTTCATTGGAATCTTTATTTCACCGATTACATCATGTTTACCAAAACGATCAAAGTCAAAAACTTGCAGCACCAAAGTCTGACCACCCAACTCATTATAAGGTATCTGGAGAGAAAGAGTATGAAAATCAGTTTCAATTTAATTGCATTACACCCTTTCTTTGTTAAATTTTAGTAAAATGCAGAAATATATATCTGATATAGTTWGTTAAACTGTTAGTGTACAGACCTTAAATGTGAATGTTTCATTGAAAACAGGGCAGAGGTTCTTTCGCTGGACTTTGGTCTCAAACTTCTTTTTCTTGTCTGGCAGCATGTAGACTTTTACGTAAGGGTCCGAGGTCCCACCCATGTCCATAGCTGCAAGGTCCTGAGCCTGGAGGATCCCTACTATCAACTGGAGGAGGAAGAGGGCAAAAGRAGAAGATGAGTTGAACTGTAGGACTCATAAAGCCTAGTCRCAACAGAAAATGTGAAACATGACAGCTTATCTAAATTTTTAAAACAACACTGCAATAATCACGATAAAGAATTGTGAGAAGGCCATGTACACCAAGGCTGTTTTATTTAGAGCAGTGTCCAGATCAAATGAGGGAAACAGAAATRAGTACAGTTTATAACCCAATTTGGAGTTAGTTTTAGTTGAAAGGTGCCAGTTGAGGGAGTTTGGGCARCATGTCTGCTGTCTAGATGCCTCCCTTTATAGGTTTTTTACTGCCTGCTATGACAAAAACGTCTTCCAGAACATGGATGATCTTTCAAAATCTTGGCTCATTTACTGTCAGATATTAGGGTAGTARTAAGAACAAAGTTAGCTCTTTATTTTGTATGACAGACTGTGATATGTTGTAGAAGGTTTTTGGTTCCTGGAGCACAGCACTGAGGAAAACGTTTGCAGCACATCCATGATGTGGGGCAGAGTAGCACCAGTTTGATTTAGACAGTAAGAGTTTATAAAACGCTATGATTGTGATCTTTAAAATATCACAGACATATTTRAGTACAGACGTGATACCCATAGCTGCAGTGGAGGGGAGATTGGACTGTGGTCTTGAGTTTACAGGTTAGTGTCATTATGGGAATGTTCTGCTGATATTTAGAGCATGGTAAGAGCACATGAAAGCTTTTGGAGGCAAGGAAAAATACATTTGGCAAGACAGAAGCAATTGCATTTGCCTTAACACAGAAAAAGTTTTTTTTTCTAATTTGCCATGATTTAGCCACATTCATAAAGGTCATGCAGATCAGAGACAGCATAGCAGAGTCGAAAGTTCTCATGCAGCCAAACCATTTGTGTATAAGAGTATAAAAGTCAGAAGTCAGGAATAGAAGCAAASTGAAAGAAGAATGACACTGTAGGAGATGTGAGGAATTACTTTGAAACAATGGATCACTAACATGCRATTTAGTGGACAAACTTTCTCTTTTTCTTTTTGTCCAAATCAGTGCCAGCTGGCCACATCTTGATGTTCCAAGCATCGACATCGCTGCTTAGCAAGACGTAAACCCAATTTCCAAAAGGAAAACAAATAATAAAAAGAGGAATGAAACAGTTTCTAGGTGTTGTTGAACTGCACGGCTTTAAGCTGTGGCAAAGATGTTTAGTAGATAATTACAGTGTTAGCACCGAGTACCTGATTYTCAGTAAAATTATAGTCCAGTGTGAACTCCAGTTTTCCCAAGTTCTCCTTCTCCTCCTCCTCTTTCCCTTCTTCTCCATCCTGAAAGATTTACAAGACAGAGCAGTCAGCTGGGGAAATGTTCAGCTCAGATATTTTGTATTTCATGCTCCTGTTACCACCTAAGGTTTAAAAAAAAAATCATAATTGGAAAAAAAAGAAAAAAAACAAGAGAAAGTGTAACAGAAAAAAATTAATGAACACACACATTACTCTTTTTGTTTCTTGTACATTGGGAGTTGTGTTCGTCTAGATAAACTGATGGAAAATCTCTGAGAATAAATCACAACTAAGACAGAATGTGATATGATTAATTAGTTACAAAAAACATTTTCTTTTTCTCTTACAACTACAGTGGAGATATTAAAACTGTAATTTTCTTTTCTTCAAGTTAGAAAAAAAAACAGCGTTCTTGCAGATGGTTGGATTTTTAAAGTCCAATGTGTGTGAGTAGGAAACAACAAATAATGATTAAAAATAGAATGAATAACATTCTGCAAACTACGCATTTTGACTTGGAAGATTTAATTTATGTGTACTTGCTTTAAATACTGTATATATTATCCATTCACATGCAGAAGCCTTTTGTGTTGTTAGGGGGTTTAAATACATGCACAAGAAATTTTTGCACAATATAAGTACATTTGACAAAGTTTTTTGACCATGTATTGTGGTTTTTAAGGTCAAATGGATGTGGCAACCATCTAGAATAGGGTTAACATTGAAAGATAATTGATTATTGAAGTCCAGCCAATGATCTTTTCCTATAAGTTTTAGTGAAATCCATCCTGTTATTCATTAGATATTTATTTTAAAAAATTGACAGAGATGATTTTAAATAGTTGATGGCAAAAATTTAAACCAAGATCCTGTAGCACACACACACACACACACACACACAGACATGGGCAAAAACATTTTTGCTCTGCCTTTGGCTTTCCATGTCAGGCAATAATTACACTGTACAATTTTCAACTGACAGAAACAGGACAGGATCTTAAAATAAACTTAAAAAGCTTTGCAGAATCCCAAAGCAGCTCATTTATGATCCATGAGGTGTCTCATATACCAAACAGTGAGCAGTTTTTATACAGTCAATGCTTGTGTAGGGAGAAAATAAGAAAAGTGTGTACACACAAAAGTATCCAGATTTATTAAACTGCACTCATTTCCTTCATGCATTTCAACAAACATGGACCTGAGCCCACAAGACACCTGACACACCTCCTTTTAAATATGGAAAATTAGATGCAAATACATCCATACGTTTCCTCTCTGCTTGATAAAAAATGTCTAGATGCAGAAAAATGATTACTTAAATTGAATCTGTTCATCTTAGATTAATACTGACAGCATCAATCTGCCACAGGTGTGCTTCTGAGCCTGAGACATGTCCAACTTTACGTTTAACAACAGAACTACTGTAAAAAAGAGGAACACTGGGGATTAACAGAGCTTTGAAATTTTTARAAATTTGAGGTCAAGAAATGAGTTGCTGGGCAGCAGTAGAGTGTGCTTGTGTTGTGTGTTTACATCTATTGWCAGGGTCCTTGTGTATTTTTGCTTCATTGTTCTTTTGATTTCTTAGGTTTCTGTATTTGCTGTTTTTTATGTTTATCATTCCTTGCACTTTATTTTTGATCATCTCGGTTGTCAGATTGTTTTGTTTTAGTTTCTGTGTGTTCTTTGTGTCATTCCTCATCTCTCCCTCAGTCAACTTCTGTGTTTTCTACTCACACCTGCTGTCACACCTAATCCGCTCATCTGTTGCCTGTTCATACCTCATTAGTTTTGTTCTAGTGAGTCAGTCTCTTCTCACCTGCACATCAGCAGATTATTGCATCATATTTTGGTTCCACATCACTGGTCTTGTTTTGTCTTCCCTCCTGATAATCCTAACTCCTATGAGTTTCTGTAAATCAGCTTTTTGTTTGTAATTTAAGTAATAATATTATTAATTTTAGTACGTTTGCTTTGTCGTCTTTGTTAGTCTGCGTTCTGGGCCCAAATTCACCTCCCAAACCTTCATACATGTGACAAGAATATAAGAAACTTTACAGTTTACATTGGGTTGAGGTAGTTTCTATCATTTCTGAGGTATGTTATGTTTTGTTGTATGAAGTTATGTGTAGTTAATTTTCCTCATCAGGTTTAAATGCCTCTTAAATAAAAAAGAAATATAGTCATACTTTTGTATATTTAGGCAAGTTTCAGTACTTTGTTATTTGATTTCTGTGGACTCAAAACATTTGGAGGTAAGCATATTCTCACTACATGTTGAAAATGTGCATGCATTTGTGCACACTTTCACGCACAGGTCATTTGAAAACATCCCAACATGCGTGGAACCTGGTGCACACAGCCTTTGTGCGTTAGCACATTCCTTCTTGTCCTACCTTTTTGTCCTCTGTTTCCTCTCCCTCCTTGTCCTTCTTTCTGCGCCCTCGTCCACCTCCTGTCCTTTCACGGGCCTTCTTGGGCTTTTTTCCCATATTGAAACATTTTTTGTAGACGCAGAATCCTAGGCAGACTATGAGAGCAAGAACCACAACAACAATGGCTCCCACAGCCCACATGGGCACTAGAGAGAAGAGAACAAAAGAAATGGCAGGTTGGCAACATTTCACTCAACACATTTGACTCATTATGGATAACTTCACTTCAATACATCATAAACATGGAAGTGGGTAAAATGTAGGAAGAAATTGATACAATGTGTGTAGAGTGTGGGCAGAGGTAACCAACTAAACAATTTGTACTGTACTGTCTACAATACTGTTTTGTAAGCTGTGAACTAAAAAAACAAACTGTTTTAAAAAACTGGTTATTAAAATGTAACTGCAGATCG